AGCCAGGACCATAAAGGACCTAGTGACAGCCACCAGTTTTGTAACAGATGTGGGACTCGAACCCGTGCGTAGTGGATTGGCAGGGTCGTTCCCAACCCACTACACCGTTCTGACCCTTAAAAAATAGCGCAATAATTGAATAATTTATTATTGGTTTTACCGATACGGAATAACGTATTATGTTTTCAAAAACGTCAATACAATTTTATATTTTATTGTCCGAGCTCTGTCGCGACAGTCGCGTGATGTTAAATGGTGGCCTTCTACTTTGATTACCTTGTTTAAAAGAACCCGTACGTGCATGTAAACACGAGACGATGTCTTTTCCCTGTTTGTGAGATGTCTGGCTCCATTTTGCTGATGAAGTCCCGGACAATGGGCGCCTCCTGAAGTTACTTATGCTCTCATTATTTCGGACCTTACAGAGTTGATAACTTATTTAGAAGTGATTCCTGTCTCAATAAATTCCTGATATGAACCAGCGTCGATACCTCAAATCGTGCAACTGTCATAAACTGTCTAGGGTTTGTATTTTGTCAATCGTATTTAATCCGATTTTGACATATGGTCGGATACCATTGTCACATAGCCTACCTCCATCACATACTACCTGTTCAAACTTAATATTTTGATATGGGCTTTTGGCCTTCGATATGTTGCCTACATAAGCAAGTTTGGTAGGCATCCAATGGATGATGTACTTTACTCTGAGTTGTAGATATAGTCGTCCAACCTCGGGATCATCAAAGTCCATCCTCTTAAATCCACGATTTTGACTTGGCGGTACCAGATCTCGGGTTTGCCGGACCTATCCACGTCATGTCTTCATCTACGTGATCCTGACATCATAGTGAGTCAACGTCGTCATAACGGGCTTTATCGGCGCCCTCCGTCCCAATCCACCACTCTCCTGTCCAATCTACTTCACGATTCCATATTCAAATTGACCGCGTCACTAATCTTGAACGGTACCCATCCATCACGTTCCATCTTCTCATTTCTCAAAAATCACAATACTCCACGCATTTTTCCGAGATCGGGAATAGTGAGGCCAGAACACCATCCACTTCACCAGCAACAAGAACCGATCGAGCGAATGCGTCGGCTACATCCTAAAGAATAATTTGTTTAGTAAAAACGATTATTAAATTGTAGAAATATAACTATTACCTGAAGAATCTCTCGTGTGATACGGCGAAAGATGAGACTGTTACACTTTAGAAAGCGTGTGACCCATTGCCGCAGTGCTCCAACGTGCCTTGCACGAGCAAAAAGAGGTTCAATCTTTTCAAAAGCAAGCGTGATGTATTTGACTGTCACGCAGCGGCTTTTGGTACGCCGCATCTCATTAATCAAATTACAAAGTCTAAACTGTAATTCGTAATAATTCTGAAAAATTATCAAAAAATAATAACTGTATATTTTTTCTCACTGGAAACCAGACGTCCTTCTTCTTGTGGGATGCTGTGTCTGCGTAGCACTCGTAGTTCGACCTTTGCGCCTTGTCCTCCTCTAACGCAGCTTGCCGCTTTTTTTTAGTTATATATTGTCGATCGATGGACCCTGAAAGCCTTTGCTGTGTCAGCGGCTGACATGCTATCCGTTGCCCGGGCGCTCTTTATTAGTGTGCGCTATTTAGTTAGTAATTGTACCAGAATGTGCGGATTTATTCTTAAACGATACCTGATACTTGATACGATTTTTTTATCTTCGTTCTTTGGTGCATAAGTACCATGTAACGGCACATGAGCAGAAGGTCAAGTCGAACTTTTCCAAGAAGGACAAGGGGAATGATCGTAACAACAATAAATCTGAAGCCAAATCAGCAAGCATGAAGACAGCAAACACGCAGGGTGCTACTGGCGGTACACGTGGTGGTTCTGGTGGTGCTGGCGGTAGTGCTAAGCAGAATCCGCCCAAGATACACTTCCACCGAAGACGGGCAGTTGGCACTGCCAGGGACCTCATTGCTTGAGGGATTGTCCAGCGGCGAGCGAAGACGAGAAAGCTCGAGCCGTGGAGAAGATGAAGGAGGTTCATCAAGCGACAAATGGACGTGTCAAGAAGATCGGGTCGGCACCTGCGCCGGGCGAAACATTGGTTAATAACCTTTTGACGATCCCGTTCCTTGCTGATACAGGGTCGGAGGAGACATACCTACCTCGACAGTACTTAGACGAGCTGATTGGACTTGGAGCAGTTCTGGACGTGATGAAATTACCTCGCGCAGAGAAAAAGAGTGCGACAGGAGGAAATACAGTCGAGTGTCAGGAAGCAGTCACGCTGGATCTACTGTTACAGACTGTTGCAAGTCCCGTACACTTGTCCGATGTGTACTGCATAGTGATGGAGGTCTTGAATCGGATTTCATCCTTGGAAATGACAAGTTGAAAACGCTTGGCATTGATGTCAATGAACAGCTTCCACAACTAGCATCTGCCCCCCCCACCCCCATCCTGTTGCTGACGAAGACCCGTTCGATTTAGGTGTGCCATCTGTGATGCCCCAACTGAGGTACACGTAAAATTGGAGGAAATGATGGCGACTGCGAGTGATAGCGGTTTTGATCGAGATTATCTGGATGGGCTTCGTGAAGCTGTAATGGAACATGAAGATGTACTTCGAGTCGATTTGCTCGACGACCCACCTGCCGATGTCGAACCCTTACGAATCACGTTGAAGCCAGGAGCTCAGCCTTTCCGAGCTCACCCTTGCCGTTATTCTTCAGCACAGAGTGCGTTTCTTCGAGAACATGTCCGGATGCTCGAAAGAACGGATTTATCTATCGAAACAACATGAGCTTGTGGGATTGTGCAGCAGTGCCGGTAGCGATGGTTGGCCGGCCAAACGAATTTCGATTGACGGTCGATTATCGACCGGTGAACGCGGCAACAGTGCCGATTGCTGGCACAGGTGCTGATCTTACGTCCTCCTCTGGGATCGTTGCAGGGGGTTACGGATTCGCTGGTTTTGACATGCTAAGTGGGTTTTCTCAGCTACCACTCGATAAGGTCAGTAGGGAGCCTATGAGTTTCATTACAGACGAAGGAGTATGGACGCCATGTCGCGTTCCTCAAGGCGCTATGGATTCTCCATTGCATTTTCAGAATCAGATGAGTCTTGCATTTGAGGACATGTTGCGAACAAATCTCTTGATCTGGATTGACGATATTTTGCTGTACGCGCCTTCACGGGTAGTTTTCGTCGCTGCGTTAAAGCGGTTTTTGGCTCGTGCACGCAAGCTTGAATTGAAACTCAGTGTGATGAAATGTTTTCTGTTTCGGAAGGAGGCCAAGTGGTGCGGCCGAATCTTCAGTGGCGTTGGAGTTTGGCATGACCCAGAACGGCTTAGTGGCCTCCGACAGCTACCTCTGCCCGGTACTACTGCGGATTTACAACAGTTTCTTTGTGGAACCGGATGGATGCGTGACTCTCTTATGGACTTCAGCCGGGTGGTGGAGCCTTTGCATGACAAGTTGGAAACTGTGTTGAAAGTAGTTGGTCGGACGAAACGACTTGACGTAGGTGCAGCTCTCCAATGGGTTGCTCGTAATAAGGCTGCATTTGAAGATGCACGCAACCTTCTTGCTACGTCTCAACACTCCATCACCCCAGCCCAGGATGCGTCAATCGTACTAATGTCGGACGCTTCGGACAGAGGCTGGGGACTCGTTGTCACACAGGTCCACGATTGGGTTAAAAGTGTTCCGGTGGCGGATTAGCAACACGAACTGCTCGTATGCAAGAGCGGGAAGTTTGATGTCACAGCGAGGCGCTGGAGTATCATTGAAAAGGAAGCTTTCCCCATCGTTTGGGCGTCTCGCAACCTGACCTACCTGTTAGTTCGTGGCAACGGGTTCAGACTCTATTGCGACCACAAGAACCTTGTGTACGTGTTCGCTCCTGATCAAGAGGTGAAGAGTCATGTGCGTGGAAACTTCAACGCTGGGCCGTCTCGTTGACAGGGTTACAGTACCAGATTGAGCATATTGATGGATCTGCAAATTTACGGGCCGATATACTATCACGGTGGGGGCTACCTTCAGTGGAGGAGGGAGTGTTAACCAAGTGCAAAGCTATCACCAAAAGCAGGACTCGGGAGACTGCTGCAGCTGACACCCAAATCCAACGTGTACACTTGCGAGCGATTCGTGTTTCCTAGTCGAGATCCTGGCAGTGCAGCAAAAGCATGTCAACAGTGCACCCGTGAACGTGGAGCGTGACGACAATGGATCCCTGGTTGTTAACGTCCGACTATGGGTACCTGAAGTTGAAGTGGCACTATTGCAGCGGATTTTGATCGTCGCTCACTGTGGAGCCCAGGGCCACGGCAGCAACTTCAAGAGCGAGCTGATTGCTATGATTTGCAAAAAGTTAGATATTGACCAGAACTTTGTCGTGGCCTATGCACCATGGATTAATGGAACGGTTGAACGTCTAAACCGCGACGTACTCCAAGTTCTACGCGTGTTATTGATGGAGTACACTCTGGACACTCATGAGTGGGTCTACATCTTACCTCTCGTGCAGGGAAATCTCAACCATACTCCTGTGCGGTCGCTCGGCGACAGAGCCCCGAGTGAACTGTTTACGGGACTACCACGCCCGAGCCCATTTGAGCCTCTCTAACTGGAACGAGGACAGCAAGTTGAAGTGCTGGAGACTTCGGCGTGCCTGCAGAACGCCTGGACCAACTGCGGACCAGTTTGGCCGGTTTGCACAAGGAGGTTGTGAATCAACGTGAGAAGCGTCGCCTTCAGAATATGGCTCGGTCCAAGGGGACTGAGTGCAACTTCAGCGTGGGGGATTTTGTCTTATGGTCACGCATCGCCTCAAGAATTGAGGTGGACAAGCTGCTAGCACGTTGGGTAGGGCCATTTGAAGTCGTGAGACGGCTCCCCACTCCTTCACGATCCGTCCCCTCGTGACGAACAAACGTTACGTCGTGCATGGATCGCGTCTCAAGTTCTACGCTGACTCAAGTCTGGAAGTCAGTGAAGAACTACTCGCTCATGTAGGCAACCAATGTATGCTACTTCTGGTTGAGAGTTTGAAGGAACACCGGAAGAA